GAATAAAGGAACAAAAATGTTGTATAAGGAAAATAGTTTTCATATGGAATAGAAAGTAAAATGCAATACTAAGTAGTATCAGGAAAAAATAAATATTATACTGACAATCTGATGTACAGAATTCTTAGAAAATGGGAGAAAAGCAAGAGACACCATTGCCACCACAATAACTGAACAATTTTCAAGTGTGTGTGTGTGAGAGAGGGAGAGAGGTTGAGGGGAGGGAGAGGGAGAGAGAGAAGACAGAGTTAGTTTGGGCATTTTCTTCCTTGAATACTCTTTATACTTATTCAGGGATTTAAATAATAAAGTATATTTCAAGTTGAGTTCAATTCCAGGTAACTTTATAGATATGTCCATGTAGTTTCCTGGCAACAGTGCAGGAGTGATTTGCCAACGCCCTCTTATGAGATGCTTTTAAAACTTTTAAGTACAAAGCTCCGAGATTTTCTAATAGTCTCCCTTCCAATTCCACCTGCTCAGCTTTTGAGTGTGTGTGTGTGTGTGTGTGTGTGTGTATGTGTGTGTGTGTGTGTGTGTACTAGTGGTTCCTTGAAAATAAGACCGGGTCTTATTTTCTTTTGGGTCCCAAAATAAGCATTAGGGCTTATTTTCAGGGGTATCTTGTTTTTTTTTCCCCCACATATATGGGAGGCCCCCTTCTTCTGCTTGCTCACAGCAGGGCAGAAGGCCGTGCAGCATGCCAGTAATGCCGCCATGAGGTGGGGGGTGGAGCTGCCCCACACTGGCTTACTTCAGGGTGCCCAGAGCCAGGCCATCCATGCCTCAACACCTGCATCACCTCACGGAAGTGGCATCAACATACTGCTTTGCTCCCTGCTCTGTTATGGACGCGAGTGAGGAAAAGAAGTGGGACGGCCGCCATGTGGGCTCCTGCTGTACATAGCTTCTGGTGCTGCTGCCATGAAGCAGATGTTGGGGCATGGATGGCCTGGCTGCGGGGCCCCTGAGGTAAGTCAGTGTGGGGCATGTGAGGCAGCTCCACCACTCATCCACTTCACAGCCATGGCATCGTGAGCAACTAGATGGAATGGGCAGGTGGACGGCTCTTAAGTAGTGCTTATTCTGGGAGTAGGGCTTATATTAGGCGCACACATTAAAAAAACATGCTGGAGCTTATTTTGGGGATAGGTCTTATTTTCAGGGAAACAGGTGGTAGATAAGTAGGTAGGTAGTGGGATAGAGGGATAGGGATAGGAATAGATTAGATGTAGATGTAGATACTGCTTAGAGTTTTTATAGGAGTAAAGGAATCAAACTATTCTACTCTGTTGATGATCTCTAGGAGACATTTCTTCCAGAATTAACCCACAGATTGCTAGTAGAGATAGACTTTGTTTAATGACTGCCTTGTTTAAGGACTGTTTGCATAGATCAAATGGTGATAAAAATAATTTTGCAATCAATTCTTGCATTTACAACCTTTGCAGGTCTGTAAAATAAATCATGAGCATAATCACAAATTCGTTTAGCAACTGCTTTGTTTAATGACCAAGCTGCTGGTCTCAATTGTGCTCACCATGCAAGGACTAGCTGAATTGCAATTTAAAGTGAATAAATGTATATTTATTTATTCATTTATTTGTATTCCACCTTTAATATTTTTACAAATAACTGAAGGCGGCAAACATACCCCATTTTCGTCCTCTTATTTTGCATGAAGCATAAAATTCTGTTGAGCTGTACCTGAGTGAATTAACATAATGACCACTTTTTTCAGTATAGCAGCCTTGAAAATGTGCCCACATAAAAATGAATTTGTCTATTTAAGAACAGATAGAATTGCAGCAAGGCACAATGTATTTTTAAATTAATCATAAGTCTGGTTTACTCAGAAACAATTAGCTATCTTCACTGGGAAGATAGGAGCAAAGAAGCACTTCAACATCTGGCATGACTAGGTAGAATAAATGAAAGAGAATGAGAAATTAGGTGGCCAGATTTGATTCTATAACCAATATCAAAGACTTGTTTCTTCCTTGCATATAATTCTATGTAATCCATAGCACACAACCAATGCTTTAATGCCAGCCTACCTACCATACAGATTACTACTATTACATGTTTATATAAATCATACTTGAATTTCAGAACCCCAGTGAATGTTTGGCAGGTAAGCTGCCTCAGTATAAGTAGGCTGTATTCCTGCATTTCATTTCATTCAGCATGCAACCTAATCTCCACTACTTTATTAAGTAAACAAGAGTAAATAACAAGTTGCTGCTAACAACAAACTAAATATATCTATTTGTATCTATAATACAAATATATCTATTTGTATCTAATTGTATCTATAATACAATTCACAGCTCAACAGCCATCATATAAGCTAGGGCTGAGAAAGTATTATACATTTCTCAAAACAAATGTCAAACTTTATAAGCATTTTCCAGAGTAAAAAACAATCAAATTCCTAGATGCCAATATCTAGCTTGTAGAGGTGTGTACGAAAGCAAAACAAAAGAGTGTACGTAGATGATAATTTTTAGTACATAGTCTTTTTTGATGCAAATTTGAATTTTTTCTCCCATTTGGGGATGTTTAGAGATTTTCCTGCAAATTTCATAGGATTTCTCCCAGAAGCCAAAGGAAAAGCCAGTACCTGACATTCTAATTAGTGGTGTCTGGTTTTTCTAAAGTCCACAGCTGTATGCTTCAAACCAAAATTACAAGTAATAAAATTTTAATGGAAATGTTTTTGTTTAGGTAACCTGGTGAGAGTAAGCTACCAAGGATATTTTTAGACGTTGCCCTATGTTTCCAAATATTTACATACTACTGTGTAGGAAAATGCTACCTCACCTACTAATATGACAGCAAACAAATGACATAGGTGAGAACATGACCTTGAGATTTCTAATGCAGTCCTAAGCTTTTTCTCTACATGAGGTCATGATGGGAATTATGCTGGTCATATTATACCAAGGACCCCCTCTGCTGGTTACAGTACACATTAGCTCCAATCAAAGCCCTTTAATGATTCCATAAGTTATGACTAAGGAAAAAGAAAGATAGCACAGATAGGAAAGAGAAGGCTACACGAATTCCCAGTTTAAGTTCTGGGCCAAATACTTTTCATGACACTCTTATGTGTGAAGGGGGTATATTACACATATAAGCAGACAGAGATGTTTGTTTTTCAGTAAAGTACATTGCCATTTTTAACACAACTAAGCATTTTCATGTGGCATGAAACACATTCCGAATTAAAACCCAAGAATCCATAAACAAGTAAATATATAATAAATAACACTGCTACTGCATTTTGATGATTTCACTCCCTTTTCCTCGGTTTGTCTCTTTAACTGCAAATGTTGCATTGCTCTAGCAAAGCAAACCTAAAAAACTATCCATGCTGTCATAAAATGAATAAACATGAAGTTATTGAAAAGAGCAGACTAATACAATCTGGAAATGATACTCTTCAGCTTGGACATTTTTTGAGCTAGATGTTTTTGCTAATTTTAAACCCCTGTAACATGATACACTGCAGGCAATGTTCCTTTTCAAAGAAAAAACAGGCAGCCAAAAAGAACATGAGCACTCACTTCTGCTTTTGATTAACTATCTTAATGATTTAGTAAAATGACAGAGAGCATAATACAACATTAAGACTTATCTGAACCAGGTGTTTAACAATTCTTTTCATGCACTGGGATATTTTTTATTTTTTTTTTATTTTTACCACTGTGCTAGGATTTAGTGTTTTTAGCCATAAATCACACCATGGAAAAGCTTAAATGTTCTTTAATAGAGGACGCTCTTGCATACACAATCACACCACATGTAGCTAAGGTGCTTTTTACTGCTCTGTTGTTTGCTTAGTTGTTTACTTGAGTCTCTTGTTCAAACCATTGACTGAGCAAGCAACAGGAAAAATTGAAAATACAAACAAAACATGGAGCCTGTACCAAATCTACTGCAAAGTACTTGATCAAACAATTGTATGATTTTGCAGAAAGCACATGCATACCCAATTTAAATGCAGAACCATCAGATGTAGCCAGACAGCATCAAAGGAAAATAGCCGTACTTTTAGCCTATTACATGAAAACTTGATACACGTGCCTGAATTTTTCTGATATTCAGGCACCTATTCAGGTGACAAAAAGCACCAAGGACCACTAAGTTGGTCCTAGGATAGTTACAGTACACCACAACATTAGTCTGCAAAATAAAGTGGACTCTAAACTTCGCTTTGATAGGAGCAATTGCATCAATGTGTTTGTTCTAGAGGTTAATAAAGTCCAAAGCCATTTCTCATTAGAAAACTAGCTATGCATTTCAATGGATGTGATGTCCACACTTTGAACAACAGAGCAATGTCTGATTGCTGGAAGGTTAGAGACAAATAATGCCAATTTACAAATGATCCAGTTCTCTTTATTCAAGGAACTACCTCTGATTTCTATAAATAGGCTCAGTTGACATCTGGAGAGAAAGGCTCAAAATAAAATTCCATGATGAAACACTTCTGGAGAACTCATAAAGACTCCTCCAGTGGATTTTTGGATCTCAAAAAGAGAGGAGGAGGAGGAGGCAAGAACATAAAAAACCTCCCTAGAGGCTAAAAGAAGGTTACAGTTTGAGATAAAGAAAGCAAAAGCAAAAGCAGCCACCATCAAGCTTCGAAAATTTAGGTATATTACAACATAAGTCTTCCCCCAAGCTGGTACCCTCCCAGGTATGTTAGAATTACAACTCCCGTGACTCTCAGATTTTGTAGTTAATGGCTGAGAATTATGTGAGTTCATGTTATTTTTTTAAAAGATGTTGAAACCCCTTTGCTCCAGAAGCAGCCTACAAAGCAAAATAGTTGTCCCAAAATTTCCCCTGAACATCATCACCTTAGAGAAGGCTGCCACGCATAAAGGGTCTACTCAAGAAGTGCCCTGCTTAGATGCATCGATAATGCCACCAGCTCTCTCCCTGCAGTTTAGTCCAGCATCCCCTCCCGGACCAGTCCTTTCAGCCCTTACCACTCTGCCTGAGAACCTCTCGATGGCCCTCTTGACTTTGCCATAGGTACCCTTGCCCAGCGTTTCTTGCAACTCGTAGCGATGTTTCAGGTTGTGCTTGTGGTGGTGCCTCTTGACCCCTTGCTGCTGCTGCTGCTTCAGCTCCTGTTGGGGAGCGCTGACAGGGCTGACGGCCTTGGGGGTCGAAGCAACCGAGTCCCCTGAAGAAGGAGTCTCCGCTGCGGACTCCTCCATAGCCGCTCCCGCCACTTCACCGACAGCCCGCTCAGCCTCCCGGCAGCATTGCTGGGGAGCTTCTGTGCTGCTGCTGCCATCCAGCTCAGTCCTATCCATCTCCCGCTCCGGCGGGCGTGCGCCTAGAAGGCACTTGGAGCGGCGCGGGAGGAGCCTCGGGGGTCCCTCCCTTCAGGCGTGTTCAGCAAGGGCTGCCCTCATATTTTCGGGCCGGGAGGGGAGAGAGGCCGAGAAACCGGAGGCCACAGCGCCCTCCTCTCACTCCCCGCTGGGGTACCTAAAAAGCAATTACTAAGACGGGAATTTGGGGACGGTGAAAGCGGCCGGGCCGGAGGGGATTCCCCGGCTGCACCCGGTCCTTTGGCGGAAGACGCTTTTCAGTTGGGGAGGGGAAAGCAAAAAAGCCGTGTCCCCCTCCTCCGTCTTTCTTTCTTTCTTTCTTTCTTTCTTTCTTTCTTTCTTTCTTTCTTTTCTTTCTTTTCTTTCTTTCTTTCCTTTCTTCCTTCCTATCTATCTATCTATCTATCTATCTATCTATCTATCTATCTATCTATCTATCTATCTATCTATCTATCTATCT